CATATTCGGCTTGATTACTGCAATTTTTGGACCTGTCTTCTACGCAATATTCGGCACTTCACGGCACACGTCACCTGGTACGGTTTTTTTGCTTTAATTCATGAAATAGGATGACGAGTACTGGATTAAGGCTGCTTCGCGATCGCTGCACTTATGGTTGGTGGCGTTGTGGAGCAATTCGGCAGTAAACCACCCAACGGTAGGTTCAAGTAACAGCACTCATTGGGACTACCACTCCAAAAGCGTTTTTTAGCCCAGAATAATAACACCGCCCCACTTCCGGTAATATGCTGTCAAGCTTCAGCATCAGCGGTGCCTCCAGATGAAGCGGTGGGTGTTGCCTCCTCGGTGACGCTTCTCGCCGGCCTGTGGCAGGTCACTTATCACTATTGCTTCGCCTTCTTACTCACCAATACAGGATAGTTGCAGATATTTTTTGGTCTACTCAATGCAGGCCTTCTTGCTGTATGGTTGTCAGATCATTTGGTCCAAGGTTCGTTCAGCGAAATTCGGGGCAAATTTTCTATGATCTTTTACAGCCACTAAATGAGGCTGTAGTCTAGTTCGCTGCGGACGAAGGAGCGTGTTAGGTGGTACTAGTTTGGCGCGGTGTCAAACCCGTGCGAGGCGGTGGCAAGTCTGCATCATACCCGCTGTCGCATACCCGCTCCAACAACTGCCAGAGGACGGGATTGCAGCCGTGGCAACTCATACGGCCTGACACGCCTATTCGTCCGCAGCGAACTAAAGTATATGGGTGTTTGGCAATCTTCAAAGGTAAACCCCGCGGTCGTATATTGTGGATAGTGGCATCCAATTACAGACCTGCAGTCGCTAAATGACCCTCCAGGTATGAAAGAAGTACAAAAATTATGGAGAACACCCTGTATGGACTCCTGGCAGCCGTTCTGAAGTTATCCTGACCCAATCGTTTCATGCCATCGAAGCTACATCCTGCCGCCTGATGAATCACTAATTGTTTCCTCGCGTTACCCAAGGTTGATGCAATCTCGTGGTGAAAAACACTGTGTGAAAACACTGTGTGAAAACTGAACACGTTACAGGAAATAGCCTTTGAGTTCCGGTGGGTGGGCAGAACTAAGGAGGCGTCAAAACAGTCGCTTGAGAAAGCCGCAGCGCATTAGTATCATACTGCAAAGCCGCGAAAAAGGCATAATCTCAGAGATTGAGGGCCAGACTACTTGCAAAGGGAAGGACACCTATGAATTACTTTAGCGCGGGGATTGCCTTTGAACACACGAACACAACTTAGCTCGACATAGAGCGTTCAGACTGATAAAACGGGACAATAGGGGGTAAGTCAGATAGTTCACTCACCTCTAGCGGTTCTTGACATGCGCGAGTGGTCCGCAGCTGCAGTACAGTACCACTTTATTCGCTCAAAAGTGCACGGGAACGTGGCTAGAGGGTAGTGGTACACGAAGTCATCTCCACGCTCCCTCGCTATCCTTAAGGTACCAAGTTTGCGCCGACACCAAGATCACGCAGCGAAACACCCAGCGGTAGAGAGGAGCGCAGACAAGAGGAGCGATTGGCTATAGCTAAGTGCCTTGTTGTCGAGAGCAAACAAGGTATAAAGACGGCATCCGGACATTACCTCTTGCCCCAACCATGTGCACTTTGACCGAGGAAAAAAGGGCATGGTAGTGCAGCTTCGGAGCCATTCTTGCCACACACTCACACACAGCAAGGATTACTCCATGGGTCAGTTACAGTTTACCTTCAATAACTCACTGATTTCGATCATGACTGACTCTCTCTTTTTGTGCAGAGGAGTACGCACGGGTGCTGGGCACGTCACCTGTTATCAACTAGAACTGGTATACATACTGTTCATCCAGGAAGTTTTTTGGCTCTTTTGGAGACGATAGAATGTTCTTTTCGCACATATTGAAATTCCACGTGGCTCGTCTAAGACTGACAGTGCTATTAGAGTATATATCTTAGGATCTCAAAATAGCAGGTTATAGAGACCGAACCGGAGAATATTACGAGCTGGCTATTCACTTACAGCTAGCTTGAAGCGTTGGCATGTTATCTGAGCCTGAGGGTATACGAAACGAAATGTAAGGCAATTGTTACCAACTGCTCCAGCTATAGTCGCGTCTAAACACTATGTTCAATTAAAGAGAAAGCATTGCGTCCTTCATTAAAATAGTGGGTTTTTGTTCTGATATAGTCACGTAGCCGGTGACAATTTTCTCTAAGGAATCTTTGAGCACAAGTAGGTTGCAACTCTATCCTGACACCTGCTGCATGGTAATAATAAAAATTCACAAGTGCCGAGGGTTTCAAATAAAGTGAGCATACCTTAGGTCCATTTAGGCGGCCAAAACGGTCTTACTAAAACTAAGCAGCTTGGAAGCGAAACAAGTACCGTGGTACAGGAAAAAAATACTCGGGTTGGCGTAACTACATTAGCTGTACTGCCTGTTGTTTCTGAGTGTACAAGGAGATTAGCTGAACTTATACTTCACCAATCAAAATGCATAGCCACATTAGCCACTAACAGTCGTGGTTTTCCGCCAAAATATCTAATTTTCTACTGCTGGCGTTCTAACTTTTTCATGTGATCGATTCCTGAGAAGTGGACAAAAGTGAAAGTTTCCTATGGAATATCGTCTGGTGAAGCTTCAATCGGAGTGCAAAAGACGTGAAAAGAGAGAGCTTGTATGTTCCGCTCAAACAGTCAAATATGGCAGACGTACAACTTCCCTGTAAGCATCATGTTATTATCATTTTTCAATGTCTCCGTTTTCGAAATCCGCCGTGGCAACTGAAGGGGGGAACCTTCAACGCACACACAGACCAAAAGGGGACAGGGTAAAAATAAAGAGGTGGCACGCGCCCAAGCCGAGAGCGCAAAATAAAATAAAATAGTTCGCAGGGCCCTGCCGTAAGCGTACCATAGTGGGAGCCTGTCCGGCTGCGGCTGTTGTGTCAAACGTTTTTTGACCTTACCTACTGCAACTTCAAGCCAAAAGTGGTCATACTGCCGCAAAATGCATGACGGGCCTTATTTTGAAGGCTGACGATTCTATTCACGATCCGAGGACAGGTACGTAGGCTATTCTTTTGGTATCAGCCTCCGTGCAGGCATTCAGTCCACCTCTAAGGAGTAAGCGATTTGTCGACTTGCTGCTGCTAATTGTCAAGATCCCATAGATTAGGGGGCTTTGAGCTGTGTACGTCGCTCCCTCTCTTTATAGAAAACGTAAGATGGTTTGTTGTGGGATATTCCCTTCTGAGACGGCTGTTGTTCTGTCTAGTGCTGGGCGACGGCATGTTTGCGATTGTTTCGAAACCGCGATATCTTGCCGAATGCACCAATGTGGGACCGGTACCACTTTGGTTCGCCCTGAAATCGCGGCCGCTACCCTGTTCATGTGGAGCGTACAGCCACGCCCTTCTCATCTCCGGGGTACGGAGTAATAATGAGATCGTTGGACTTCTCCATCCCAGTGGAGATTTCCTCGAGATAATCTACTTACTTCTAAGGTCGCCTGCTCAACAATGTTGGTGTTTCTTGCTGAAGGAACTCGATATCACATTAATGTTCCGATCGTCGGTAAAGTAAGCGCTTCAAGTACGTTCCGAATGGCCGACGAAAGCGTTCTCAGACAACGATTCAGGTTGAATCAGGCATTCCTATGCCACGAGTGCCACCACTTAACAGAGCCGATGAACTTGTTTGGCAGGCTTTGAGCATTTCCATAATTTCATTCGTCATTCATATAGCTCTCGCCAAGTTGGTCTCTAGAAGGCTAAACTATGAAATCGACGCCAATCAGGTGAGGGTTATTATTTGAATCGGAAGCTTCGATTCAATTGGCTCATGATCCTGAGCTTCAGGAATGGTTTGCTCTGGGCGCTATGAATTCAATAGCTTCATTTTTCGGGTGTTTCGCGGGCGGATCCTCTTTAGGGAGGACTATGATGCAAGTGAAATTAGGCACAAGAAGTCAGGTGTGTGAGAATTGAGCCCTGTTCCTCAAGTGATTTGAAGCGATATACCGCTCACTGGATTACTCTGTAATTTCCAGATGTCGACGTTTGTCTGCTGCATTATAATGGTTGGTTTTGTCTATGGCGCAGCTTCATTTATATACCATCTGCCAAAGGTGAGGATACAAGAGAACAGACCAGTGAGTTTACGCTCACTAGGAAAGAGAATTGGATGAAGATGGAACATGAACATCGCGTCTCACTGAGAATGGACCGCCGCCTACTTTCCACTTCTCAACGCTGCTGGTCGCTGGCAGACGCTGATAGACGCTAAATCGATACCTATACTTCTCTAACCCTCGAGACGCTAGTGGACGCTGAAGACGCTGGCAAACGCTAGACTGATATCTATATCTTCCGATGACGCTGCTTAACGCTCGGAATGCTGGTGGACGCTGCCGCAACTGATAACGCAACCCTACTGCGCGGCAGGTGTAGCACTCCCACGACAAAGAAACCAGTTACACTTTTGCTCGCTGCGGATGATGGAGCATGTCGGTGAGGCTGGGTTTGGCGCACCACTAACTCGTGCTTCCGTTTGCTGAAAGGGTACGCGACAACATATGGTGGAAACAACTAATGCGAATGATATAATACAGTCTCGCGAAAGGTGGAAAATGGATGAGACGCCGCATCAGACAAATCCAGCCTGACACGCATTCATTCGTAGCGAACAGAGTAGGTCCTGGTGCCAATGCAACATCACTTGCGACGCTTCTTTTGCCGAAGCGTGGATCTCCCGCACCACACTTCACCCACGAAACCTTTGCGGGAATTAAAGGCAGCGCCCGCGTTCAAATTTAATGAGTATGCGGCTCAGGTAGTAACAGCGAGGTAGCAAGAAGCCTATTAGTGAAGAAAAATCAAAGAGAAAACACGCAAAATGCCCTAGAAGGAGTTTCATACCGAACAACGGTTGTACGTGCTTAAGGCGAAGAGAAGGAGTGATTGCACGAGTTTCCACTTGTTCATATCAGCTGTTTTCCCTTATCACCTCACTCTCACCACTCCACGTGGAGAGAAGCAGCAATGGAACAACCGCACCATCAGGCAACCATTAGAAATGAAGTTGGGTGGCGTGGTCGGCAGGTGGGCGGAGCCGTCGGCTCTTTGCGGGCGGACGCCGCTGTTCCGTCGCATTTTTGGGTTGCGAAACATGCACGTCCACCATCCTCATAGGGGGAGCTACTAGATCCAGAGAGGGCGTGAGAACAACAAATGAACGCGGGCGCTGCCTTTAAGCAAGATGCAATCGCTACTGCTCCAAGGCCCTGGTGAAGAGATTTCTCGGAGCATTCAATGCTCAATAATCCCACTCCCCAGCTTCATGATACCGTCATTCACAATCTTACCTATTTTCCTTCGCAAATGAAGTAATACAGTAACTTTGCGCATGCAAGCTTTGAAATTTGTGTAATTAGAAAGTCAGGTGCTTAGATGCGCCTTTTTCTCGTCGCCGATTCGCCGTTCAACTTACAGATTCTTATCATTAAGCTTGCAATTTTCTGTAAGACGACTCTGGTCAAACCATTAGTTTCTAGGCTATTCTTGCTTCCATCATTGTTGTTGCTATGAAAGATCTCTTTGTTCAACTCGTCCGAGGATTCCGCCTTTGCAAAGAAAGTATTGTGGATTTTGTAAGTGCACAACTTACTCGAATTCCGCTTTTCGAGGCGGTACTGAATTCTACGGGCCTCCCAATGGCAGAATGGTGTAAATGCACATTGGAACCGAAATCAGTTTAGCTCGCTCTGCAGTGGTCTCGATGGCAATAATAAAGAGACATTCCAGATGATTTTCCTTGTAACACTGGTGGCTGTGATTCTGATCAACGTCAATATGGGGCTCATTATTGGGATATCATTCGCTCTGCTATCCGTCGTCTTTCGCACACAGTGGTTGGCACGGACATCTTTTTGGATTCTTATAAGGCGTTCGCGACCACGGATTCTCAGGCACCTTCTGCCGTCTCTGGCTTAACGTGTACGCGACGCTCCACTCAAACGAGTACCGGTGGTAGCAGCCTATCACAGCCTATCATACGTTTTGGGCATAGCTGAGTAACGTAGTAGTAACAATTCTTGCGAGTAAAGACAGTCCCTATGGTGCCGTACAGAATTTTGTTTGTCGGGACTTTTTCCCCCAAAGAGGGATTTCTTCGTACCTTCCCTCGTTAAGGAACAGTCGATGACATTGCACAACAGTCATGGACACATAACAAGCTTCAGCATCGCTTCTTACAGTTAGAGACGCACACTGGTCTCATGGACAGAGCCGTCCAGCTGAAATTCACTTTTCGTCGTAGAAGCGGTCTTTAACCGCTGCTATTGTAACATAGCATGTCTGAACAAGGGAATCTGCGGTCGCGAACATAATGAGCTTTACTCTCATGGATTTGAAAAACAGCGATATTTCAGGGCTGACAGCACCTGTATGGGCCGAATACCCGGCACATCAGACTTCAAAGGACTGGGCCATTACCGCAGTGCCGAGGAAATTCCTGGTGAGTACTTCTTTAACGTAGCTGCGCGGGTGCTCGGATATTCACTTGACCCCACGGCCTACGCGCCGCGTCTTACGTCGTCGCCAGTGCATAACATTTTGAGATGTAAGGCCATAAGCCTAGAGGAAGTTCTAGACCGCAATGACAGCATGCAATCAACACGGACATGAAAACAGTCAACCTGCTCGAAGAGCTGCACGGCATCGTGCAAAGTGGCCGTCTCAAAATAGTTCTGCACCAGTGGAATAACGTAAGACAAAGGAAGACTGCATAGTGGGCGAGGATTACGAAATGCTCCATGCCCTGATATCCGAAATACAGTCACGGTCCATAAAACGATAGAGCATGCGCACGCAGTGCAGCCAAGGCGCCATTTCCACCAATCGTACCATAGCCATGCACAAGTCACACGCCTATCTTTTGTACGTATCATGACTGGTTGTGAGTCATGATCGTGATTAGTTTTGGTCAACTGCTATCATAGGAGGCTTCATAGGAGTCGAAAGAGATTGGGAGTGTTTTATTCCTGCCAAGCTTGTCCACTAGTAATAGAAATGACTCCAATAACGGCTGGACGTATTGCATAGAGTGTATACAGTCCTCATCATTGCGGACTGTCGGAGGGCGGCTGTGCAACGCGGTCCAAATGGGCGTTCGGCCTCGTTGCTCTACCAATGGCGATCGGGTAAAGATCGATTTAGGGAGGGAGCAACCAATGATGGAAACGCCGCAGGTGCGAGCCGCTGATTGCGACCCGACAATTGCGGTGATGTAAAGTAGAGCTTACATAAAATAACGGCGAGCGCGGCAAAAACGGCATTGCAGAGGGGGTGATGTGCGTAGCATACGTCCCCTTTCTGGTGACAAATATATGCTTGCTTTTCAGGGATCAAGGTTTTCCGATTTGACGCTCCTCTTTACTTTGCCAATGCGGAATTATTCATTCTGAGCGTTCACAATGCGTGCGGCTTGAACCCAGTTCTCGGTGCGCGTGGTTATCTATTAACTTCCTTCTGATTCACTTCGAACACTACATGATCAAGGCGATGATGTTCCATTGCAGTGAGGTCAAAATTGAACGAACGTGCAGCAGCCGAGGCGAAGGCGAAGCAGCAAGTGATATGCGTAAGTCATGGCTACATATATTACAGTTTTGTAAACTAAAGTGTGCGCCGGGCGTAGTTCAGCCTTATCCGAGTAGCAGCAAGTGGAGCAAAAGGCCACTCGCTCTGATACTCAACTATGTCAGCGTGCAAGGCTGCAAAGAGTCAAACTGTCTGGCTAGGGAATAACGGCGGCGCATCACATGTCATGAGCTAGACCGGTATGCGCTGAAAGATAACTCATTGGGCAGTGCATACAAAAGTTTATGTGCGCGAAAGCTCCTCTGTGGTTTTGCAACAAGGCCATGGGGCGTCTCAGCGATGTAAATTCAATAAAAAAACCCATGGCTCTGCACATGCATGTCACGGCCTCGAGATCGCCTGTAGAACATCGTCATACTACTAAACGAAGGCCATAAGGTATTAATGAGGCTAAGTGTCTATCCATCGTTCACGAAATAGACACCCTTGAAAAGGCGCATTGCGCACTGATCGAATTGGCTGACTGACTTGGATCATTGTACGTTCCTCATTAGCTGCCATCGTGAATGGAGAGTCCCATGAATGAGAAGGGAGCCCTTGCCCAAGAAGAGTCCGCTCATGCAAGCAGAGTGGCTTAACTTAAACAAGTACCGCCTGCTTATCTACAATTCAAGAGACGAAAACACACAAGTGTTTGAGATTTGAAAGTTAGGAACTTTGCAGAGCTCCGATTTGTGGGCCGCCGAGTCGCCGATGCAGCTAACGATTCAGTACCGGAGGATCCAGCTGAGCACGTCGTTACTCAGTTAACTCACATCATAATTGGTGGGGATCTGCTCTACTTACGGTCCATATCAGAGGGCGTAAAATAGCACCCCTCGGGTTTGCCTGTGATTTCAGACTGTTCCTCGATTCCATACGTGGACTTGATGGGCAAGGATGCTCTTGCTCAAACCTATGCCGACTATTCAACGATCGACATTACGGTACTAATGGCAAATTGTAAAGGTGACTGATTGCGTACTTATGAACGTTTGCAGGTTCTGATAGCCCCATCACTTATGCGGCAGCGTTCAAACTTCGCGATGGTGCGCGTCGACGCGCTGCAATTGCAATAGCGCTCCAAAGATAGAGACGCGAACGCAGCCGCAGACGGGGAATCGATCGGCGCCGGCCCTTCCCGAGAGT